GATAGACATTTGGAGGATAAAATTTTTATATGGAGGAGAGGACGTAATATCTTCGACCTAAAAACCTCTTTAAGAGTAATTATGTTTGTAAGAATAATTTATTTAATTAATGGATAAATATTTATTGAAAATAAAGATTGAAAATTTATGGATAATAATAAAATTAAAGAAAATTTAATTATTATGGAAGACAAATGAATTAATTGGAAGGTAAAGGAACTAATTAAAGTGTGAATTAGAGATTGGTATCATTAATTGATATGGTTATGCTTTGATATAGGAGCATAATCATAAAGATTAAAAGTTTAGGTACTTGATTGAAATAATTAAGAAAATTTATGCACTTAAATTATCATTGGAAAAGGCCTAAGATAAGGGCAAATTAAGGAAAATTGTGAAGTTACGAGGCTAAAATTAAAGATACTAATTGTGAAGATAAAAGTTTAGAGAGTAAAGTGTAAAGAGGTGACACTTTAAGGGACTTATTAATTGATTTTAAGAAACAAATTTTAGCTTGAGAATTCTAGAAAATTTGAGAGAAAAGGAGAAGGAAAGAGGCAACAAGGAGGAAAAGAAAGAAGAGAAAAATATCAAGAAAAAAAGATAAGAAAAGATAAGGAAAAAAAAAAGAAAAATCTAAAAGTTATTAACTACCAAGCTTAAGATTAAACCAAGCTTGACACACTTGGCTTAATCCTAAGGAAAAACCATGGCTATAATAGGGGAGGAAGAAGATGGAAGAAGGGTTATAAGTCGTAGGTGCTCAAGTAACCCTAAATGAAGAACTACACCAACCAAGAAGAAAACCATCCAATCATCACTCCAAACCACCCTAGTTAACCTAGAAAATCTCTAATATAACCTTAAAATTAGTTTAAAAGATCCAAAAAGAAGGAGGAAAAACATGCATCTTGGTCGAAATTTTTAGGAAGAAAAGGGGAGGAAGAAACCAAGGAGAAAAAGAGGAGAATTGGCCAAACTTCAAGTGAGGTAAGTGTAATCCTCACTACATCATAAGAAATTAGTGATTTTAATGTGTAATTGATGTCAATTTGAATTTTATTTGCTTGAGATTTAATGGTTTAATTGTTATAGATGTTATTTTATTGTTCGATTTTGATGATTGTATTGGTGAATATATATTTGTGATGTTAGAGTTATGATGATTAGATGATTAATTGGACCAAATAAATGTGTTTTGAGGTTTTCCTTTTTCCTAGAACATGGTGGGTGAATACCCTTAAACATGAATAAAGTAGTCGTCTTAAGACCTAATGTTTGCAAAGTGTTTGATGATATGCCTTAAAAGTGTTAAATGTCTACTCAAGAAATCTATGGCCACTAATAGGAGTATACCAACAAAACATAGTTGGTTTACTCTAGAGCTAAGACATTTGTGAATCAAAGAAAACTTATGTGCTCATAATCGAAAAGATTATAAACCAAGTTCGAGATCACATTGTGATAAATTAACATGAAGATTGAATTGTATGGTAACCATGCTCATGAAAGGTAATTATGAATTAATTAATATTTTTAGAAAATTAGATAGTCATACTTGTCTTGCTAGAAGTCAATCTTAATTTATGTATGAAGAGATAAAAGTGGTGTCTTTTATTCTTGATACATTGTCAATATATATAGGAGCCTATTGAGTCACATGCATAAGTTTAAGCATTCACATATCAAAAGAGAAGCAAAAATTTTGAAAAAAAAATAATTTAGTTTTGAAAGTTTCTCATTTTGGAAAAGGTTTCCAAAAATGAAAAGTTTTCTACTTTGGAAAACGTTTCCTATTTCGAGAAAATTTCTTATTTTGGAAATTTTTTTCTAAAATGAAAAGTTTCATATTTTAGAAATCAATTTTCTAATTTAAAAGTTAGTTTCAAATTTGAAAGTCGAGTTGCCTAAAAATGAAATTAGTTTCCTAATTTAGGTTTAAGGATAATTTGGTAATTGTTTCTTAATGTGGGTTCCACTAAAATACTTGACCCTATTTATTTGGATGGTCTAAATTAATTGATAATTAATTAGATCAAAAAAATTTAGGTCAATAGGCTTAATTTAAAAGCCTACAAGATATTTTGATAGAAAAATAAACTTGAGAATTATTGGATATATATGGCTTAAAGTTTACAAGAATAAGATCAAATAAGCCCATACATATTGCAACTCCTTATCCTTGGAGGAAAAACATGTCACCCCCTATATAAATAATAGGGAGAGAGGTGACAAGGAGAGGAGAACAATATACATACACACGGCAAAAAAGAAAGAAAAAGAGAGAACGTTTTTCTCTCCCAATGAGCCTAAGTTACTATAAAAACACTAACCGATTTCTTTAGAAAGTAAATCAACTACAAAGAGGATTAGAGCCAGCACTCTATAATTTGTGTGACTTAATTTGTGGTGTTTAAGCCGCATGGATTATCGATAGAGGCTGGACACTTGCATGTCTCCTTTCTACAAAGGCTAAATCTATGCTATAAGAGGTAAATCTTTTACTCACGCTTTTAATTCATATATGTATGATTAGTTGGTTCAACGAGTTTGACCTTGAGAGACTTAGATGGAGAAAAACATTTGTTTTATTCCGTACATCCATATGATGCATGATCCTTCATTCCTAGCATCACTAGAATTGCTTGCTACTACTATCGTGTCCACTTGTTACTACTACTACTTGTGTCCTTTTCTTTTCCTAAGACTCGTTGCAACTATGACTTTTTCTTCTTCAAAAGTCTCCTGCACATAATCAACAACAAGATACATACAAAAGTTAGACGAGTGTTCTTATCTCTTATCCTTGTACAATTTTTTATGCTTATCTCCTGTAACAAACTTTATATAAAACAGAGTTTAATAAATCAATATATATAAGAAAATATTCTACGGTTAAAAGACTCCTATAACTTTAACTGCTTGGTATACTTTGTATAAAATACTTCCACATATATTCGAGTTGTAGATGAGTATTTATGGCTTAATCTTATTACTCATTGTTTACATGAGTGTAATCAACTATACCACTTGTAATTCTATACCTATATAAAGAATGCGAAGCCGAACCCTACAATGCATTAACGCGGTAGGGATTTCACATCTTTCTTCTTATTATTTATTTTGGTATTAATTTTTTTAAAAAAAAAATCCAACGACCAAATAAAAATCCTAAAACCCAAGCCATCTCAAAAAATAGTTTCTAAATGAGTGAAAATATTAATAAACATATATCATTTTGAATAAATATAGAAATATAAAATAATATAAAGATATTGAATATATTATCTATCACAAGATTTAAATTTTTTATATCAATTATCAAATTTGATACTCATAACATACATTATCTTACTTATAATCTTTTAAATATGCTATTAGATATTCGTAACTGTAATCTATTTTGATTGAGATTCATAAACTTTTTTTTTTTAATTTAAACTTTTTAACTATAAAGTCTTACGAGAAAAATATTTTCTATTAAATTGTGCCAAATAACTATATCAATCCAAAAACTTTATTTGTTGGGTGAAATTTCAATAATGGCTTTACATTGTTCATATAAACAAACTCGTGAAAATTTTTTACACGTGAAACAGTTTACATAAACCCATCAATTTCTTGTGCTGATTTTTTTAATTTAATTAAAAGAAGAGTGGCCCACCAATACCTTGTATTTGAAATCATTACTGCTCGATCATTTAGTCTCTAATTCCATATCAACGTATTATTTAAATAAAAAAATTTAAACAGTTGAATGAAATTTTAAAAAAAATGTTTTATATTGCTTAGTAACACACGTCTCCAAGTTAATTTGCGCTCTGTAAAGTTGGAAACTTGCACAAACTGCATCTAAAAATTTTGTTATATATCACGTGAAACTGGCATATTTCACAATTTTTTTTAAAGAAAAAAATTCTTAATCAACACAAAATTAGAAAAATAAAAATAAAAAATCATCCAACTTAAATTTTTCAATATATGTGCTCTTCTAAGAATTAATTTTAAAACTTTGAGCATCAAGTTTTTGATGATTTTTGTTTTTATATATAGTTTAATTTGTAACAAATACGAGACTTTCACAAGTTATTTAAAGGTTTTTAAATAACGGAAACAGTGTGAATCATAATATCCCATAGTTCAAGCGTTAAAATCCAATAAAATTAATAAAAAAATCAGAAGGTGTCAATCAATATGGATATTAGCCTTCTTACGAATAAAAGAAATTCTGGTTATTAGTGAATAACAGGTAGGAAGATTGTTCATGTGAACATTGCGATGCGTGAGCGAAGATTGCGCACTTAGTGATCCTACAAGTTGCTCCTAAGGGTTACACGGAAAGGACACAGTGATCATCAAGAACATCGTTTACAAGCTCCTGAATTACTTTGCAAGAACAACCCAGGTTTTAGCGGATTTCTGTTTTGAAATCCTTCCTTGCTCTTCCTTTTCATTTAAGTAATATATATTTTCAGTTGTATTGATATCAGTTTCTCTCATAAAACAATGAACTTGAAAAATTCATCCAAATCTCTGATGTGAATATTAATCCCAAAAAAAAAAAAAAGGAAAGAGAAGGTATGGATAATTAATTAAGCAACTTGTTATATATATGTGAACAAAAAAATATGCAACCAACAAAGCAACTTGATCTACCTTCAGACATGTAGCCAAATCTAGAACTGAAAATTAAAGGAAAAAATACACATGATCTTATCCTCCTGCGTAACTGCCATTAATATTAATATTACTCGATTTGTCAAACTAACTAGGGCAAATGAAATTCATTACCAGCAGAATGAAATGTAGTTGATGTTTATTAACATCTGCCAGTATTTAATTTGATTAAATATAGCCAACTTAATCAGTCAATAAATAGGGTATAGTAGTTGACGAGTTGAAGTGGAGGAGTGAAAAGGAGTTCTCGGTGGCTAGCTAGCTAGAAGGCAAAGAGGATAAGTTAGGTTTTAGGTCTACTACTACAATCTTCCACTCCAAATATGGATAATGCATGCATTTGCAGGATATGGAGGACAGCAAATAAGTGCAGTCTAAAGAGTGAGTGAGAGTGCGACTCTTTTTTTTTTTTTTGGCAAGAGTGATGACGCTCTTAGTATACGTGTGTTTGTTGGAGGGAACGCTACTACGCTTTTGCATGTGCCTCAACTGCTCCTTGAGCAAAGAAACGCGGCTTTGTACCCCAATCCCATTCCTATAAATACCCACCTTCACTTGCATACTGAAAACAAGCTTGGTGTGAATTGAAATACATCTGATATGGGTACTTACAAAGTTCTTGGTTCAGTTTTTTTTGTGTTGTTAGGTTTGGGCATATGTACCGCTGCTAGAGCCCTTCTTAACCTTGAAGAAATGTCTGGCCACATTCCAGCTGTTGGCTATGGAACCGGCCATGGAGCTGGTGTTGGTGCTGGCTACGGTGGTGGTAGTGGAGGTGGGGGTGGTTCAGGTGGTGGAGGAGGAGGTGGTTATGGAGCTATAGGTGGGCATGGTGCAGGCTATGGAGGTGGCGGTGGAAGTGGGGAAGGTGGTGGTGCTGGCTATGGTGCTGCTGGGGGACATGGTGGTGGTGGCGGAAACGGTGGTGGTGGTGGAGCTGGTTATGGTGCTGGAGGTGAGCACGGTGCAGGCTATGGAGGTGGCGGTGGAAGTGGGGCAGGTGGTGGAGATGGCTATGGTGCTGCCGGTGGACATGGTGGAGGTGGTGGAAATGGTGGCGGTGGAGGAGCTGGTTATGGTGCTGGAGGAGAGTATGGTGCAGGGTATGGAAGTGGTGGCGGTCAAGGTGGTGGAGCCGGATATGGTGCTGGCGGTGAACATGGAGCTGGTTATGGTGGTGGTGGAGGAGGAGGTAGTGGTGGGGGATATGGTGCTGGAGGTGATCACGGTGCAGGGTATGGAGGAGGAAAAGGTGGTGGTGCCGGGGGTGGATATGGTGGCGGTGGAGAAAATGGGGGAGGCTATGGAGGTGGTGGTGGAAGTGGTGGTGGTGGTGGAGGCGGCTATGCTTCTGGAGGGGCGCATGGAGGTGGATATGGTGGAGGAGAAGGAGGTGGTCATAGTGGTGGAGGCTATGCCGGCGGCGGGGGAGGAGGCGGTGGCTCTGGAGGGGGTGGCGGTGGCAGTTATGATGCTGGTAGTGAGCATGGAGGTGGAAGCCAAGGTGGAGGCCATGGCGGTGGGTATGCTCCCTGAGAACGCAACTCGTTATTACACCAACTTTAGAGAATTTTCTTTCATCCATCGTGGCGTGAAAAATAAGATTAATTTGGTTAATTAAGGATATGTTAATATCAACTATTATGTAATATGAAGATTGTTACTGAATGCCCTATGTTGTATCAGATTTTAAGTAATATAAATTCTTCTCTATCGGTCAATTCTAGTTATTGCATTGGCGTGAAAAGCAAGTGGAACTTCGCAATATGGTAGAACATACAGGGTTTGGATTAATTTGGCTAAAGCAATAACAAAAATATTTTTAGAAAACCATCTTTAACAATTCATAGAGGGATAATTCACTAACAGAGAGGGATAAATAATTCGATTCATTCACATTTAAAGTAATAATTAATGCCTTATGTCCTTATGATAAATTAAATCATTCAAGCTATTACCACAACTCTGATATATCTTCTAGCCTTCCATCACTACCATGAAAAGAACGGTCATGCTTTTAGCCATCTTTCTTTCCAGGGATGTGATTTGATAAGTTACAAACGTAACAAGTTAGAGCAACAAATTATTTAATGAAAAGCCCAGTATAAAGGAGAAATAACTTAAAGCTAATTAAATTCTTTTTTATGTACTAATTCGATATGAAAATATATAATTAAAACAATTTATTTTTGATTGATTTAAAATTTTATTCACACTTATATATATAAAAAGGCTTGTTATTTTGCATGCATAATTAGTAGCACGCAAGGAAGAAATTTTATGTGGTCGGATGTCCTTATCAAATGAAAGCGACGCAGAGAAGCTGAAATGATGTAATTCAAGACCCACACCACGTTGAGCACTCTCTTAGTGATCCTTGCCCCCACACTGGTTCAGCTAGGGACTGACTTATCGGACCTTGAAGGTGCAGGCTTAGTCACTTAATTGTCAGAGCATGCAACAGAGATATTTTGTGACGCCATACCCATTTTCTGCTAATCACCGCCACAACCGCAATCCACAAAGGCGTAACTAGAAATTTAAGATTTAGAGATGAATAAGAAAATATTTGATATTTCATGGGGTGCAAAACATGTAAAATTAAAAATATTTATGTATATAATTAAAACTACAAGATTTTAGGTCTAAAATATAATTTTTTTCAAAATTTGGGGTGCCATGACCCCCACCAATGCACATAGTCCCCCTTCCTGGCAATCCTTTTCTTATAATTATAGGTTATAAAGCATGGAATAGTAACCCTTTTTTTTTATTATTATAAAGAAGAGGTAATGTTAATTAAACTATAACTCATTAATAAATAATTGATAATTTCGCATCACATGACATAGCAACCTGATATCTTAATATAGCAGCAGAGGAGCAGAGTAGAGAGATTTCATTTAGTCCAGTTAATTAAGCCAGAAATTTAATCACTTCACTCAACTTCTAACTCCCAAGCTTTGAATTTGTAGATAGAACATATATCAGTTTACTCTCTTTTACTTCACTTGCCAAAATATCCTCTCAAAATGAAGCTGGTTGGTAAAACTTACGTGGTGCATGTTAACTATTAGGGTCACCATCAAGCATCAAATTTGTTGATGGATGGCTTTTCACGTTCTTCCACCACCTTTGAAGACTTTGTAAAAATCTATATGAAATTGATAGGTGCAAAGATAAACTTTGAAGAAATTTAAAACAGAAAAGAATATTATTGATAATTGGATAATTACAATCAATCATGTAGAGTTTATATAGACATACGACGAGACAAATAAAAAGATATAATAAAATAAATTATACTAAGTGCTTGATCAGATCGCTCATTAATTTGATTAGAAGATTGAAATGATTTTGTAATTGTCTTGAGTTTTCAAACTTCTTGATTTCTTCTTTTTATTGATTAGAAAATAATCAAGAATATTTACCTTCATTATTTCCGTAACATATTTGTATCGTAATTAGCAGTGATTCAATTTGAAAATTTTTGATTAGTTAAATTTATGACTGATAACATACTTATTCTTATTAAAAAGCATCAGGACCTAAAGGTTGTTTACCGCATGTAATTGCAATGTTATTATGTCATAACCTTGATGATCTCCATCATTAATTCTGCAGCCAGAAATATTGCCTAATGAATTATCGCTCTCCATCACTTGTACACACACAGTTTTCATCAATATATATCTATGAATATATTTCCTGCTAAGATCGTCAACGCCATCTGTTTTAAGTTCGCAAATACTCTAATCGTTTGTCCAGCTGAGGAGCAAAGTCTGCTTCGGGGTTTACAGTTCATTTTAGTGATTCCTATTAAATTGGTGAAACTAGTAGGCATTATCTAAGCTTGTATATACATGCCACCAGAATGACTAGATTTCCAGTTATGTAACATGCTTATTCATCCCAACATTTATAGGGAATTAATTAATCATCGAAATCCATAATTTTCATTGAATTAATTATAACAGCAGAAAATGTAGTCCTAAAGCAAAATGATATTTATTTAGGTCTGATTTACAGAACAAGGGGAGAATTAGCTTGGGCACATTAATTGTCAATAGGAATAGAAAGTTTGTAAGAAAGAGAGACTTTAATTGTACAGTACTTTTTAATGGCTGTGGATATACGAGTCAAGGCAAAATGATAATGGGGTAGGAACATTCTGAAGCAAGATAACATTAATACGAGGATATTGCAGGCGATTGTTTGTCTAGAACTCCAAATCATTAATAATTCAAGTATTAATAATTACCACAGCAATAAGGACGGTTGCGCTTTAGAGTCTGCTTCACAGAGATAATGACTCTTTAAGTACGTAAGCCAATGGGCAGACATGGAAGACAGCATATCTGCACAACAGCCGGAGGGTGAATGAGACTGCATTCTAGTGTGCATGTGAGCTTTTATAATGGACCACTCTGTGGAAGCAACTTTTATTTGGCATGTTTCCAGCTGATCAACCACTCTCTCTTAACAAAGCACTTCCTTGGATAGAACACTTCTCTCCTCCATTGTATACCAAAGTTGTGAGGTTCATAATGCAAATCCCTTATCATGGCCATCCATGATTCATGAAGCATGTTTTGCTTGAATATATCAGTGTTTTTTTAATACGTTCAGCAACTAAAACCCTTGTAATACTCTAGAATCTAGAGAGGAACTATCTACTCACCGTAGTCGGGCAACATTATTGGTGGTGGTGGTGGTGGAGGATGCATAGTGACATAACGAAAACTCATAAGAAAATGATAAATATCGTTAATTTGAAGTTCAAATACCGATCTACTATAGCATGTTGAATTGCACACACAAATACTAAAAAATAGGCTTCAATCCCGTTGATTCAAAGAATGTCGAAAATAAGAAAAAACTAAAATACTCTCTCTCAAATGAATCAAGCAAAAAGTGTCGTTTTTCAGCCTAGAAGTTTAACATAAATAGTAAATTTTAGGTCAAAACCCTAAAGAAATTTGAAAATAAAACAAATAGTAAAAATCCAAAATTAAATAGGAAAAATCCCAAAAATCACTAAAAATCCCATAGAAACAATAAATTACAATTTTGATGGCCTAAATGATGTTTTTTTTTACCACAATCACCCCCAAGTCATGGGCAAAGCCCATGTGTTTTGATCGTTGGCCCGTTGACATCGAATTAGATCCAAAATTAGGCCAAAAATCCTAAATCAAGTCATCATCCGCTATCGCGTCGCTCTATGAATTCCAAGGTCTTTTGGTCCACATCACATAGCTAGAGGTGATGAACTAGTGATGGTTGGGATGATTATGGAAATATGACAAAAAGTACCGCACAAGTGGACTCGGCATTTCTAGTTAGCTAATTGATTGTAAAATATCCCGAAGTTTTTATTAATGTATAGAAAAAATATTTATTTGTTATGAAATAATGAATGTCCATTTGAATATTCATATAATTTCATATCCCCACTATCATAATTTTTAATGTGATTCAATCCATCATTCAATATGAGAAATTAAAAGGGTGATATAATTGATTCAACAATTTATATATTTTTAATTATTCATAATCCCTTCCAATTCTTTTCTCACGTTTGAACCCTATAAATATGCTTCATTATTCATTAGTTTGTGCACAAGTATTTTGTAGAAATTGATAAATCATTTAGAGTTGTTATCTCTTGTATTCACTTCATTTTATAGTGAATTTATTTTCTTATCATCTTTCTCTTTAATTCTACTATTATTACCATTTTTTTCATAACATGTTATCAGCACGAAACTCTAACAAATCGAGACAATATACCATGAGGTATGTATCTATCAAAAGACTTAATCAATTATTTCAATTATTAGATTTCTTCTACATAACTACTCTACCAAAAGATCTAAATTATTTAGATCATTAAGAGGTATGTATCTAATTTATAATATATTTTAAATCTAATAATACATAGAATATACATTTGAAAAACTTAAATGATTTAATATATAGAATCTAATAATCTAATATATATTATTTGAAAAGTTTAAATTTTATTATTATGTTTGTTTTTATTTAAATTTTATTATTATATTTTGTCTTTATTTTCTAATATTATTATTATACTTTACGAGTATAAACTTTTTATGATATCAATCATCACAAAACTTGATTTTGTGGTCGTTGACATTTTAGGCAAAAATAATTGATCATGAGTGCTTGATGTTGAGTCAATATCATCTACTTTTCATGTCTCAAATATGCTTCAGCGAGTAGCATAACTAGAAAAAGAGTTTAAAAAATATTTTGAATCGATTTCATACTTATTCATGGCTAAATAAAACGAAAAGTTATTGATAATAAACAATAAATCTCATCCAATTGGATCTATTTCATTCCCTAAAGTGAATGTGACGACTTATAATAATTTTCAACATGAAAGAAGAACTGATTATAACCATGGACATGGTCGAATAATTATCATTATAATTGTAATGACTATAATAATATATCCTACGACCGAAGTGGATAAACTATGAAAAAGAAATACAAAAAATAAAAATAGA